TACCTGTAAACCCATCACTTAGAAGGTGGACAAGGAGACCAGAAATCCAAGAATAAGGTCATCCTTAGCCATATGTGTGTTCAAAGCCATCCTGAGTTATATGAATCATAGTTTCTGTCCTTCCCATCTTCGTGGGTGTATATATTTTATATGTATTTATTTTATAGATTGATTACATTTTATCTATATATGTGTATATAGATACACACATAAAATTTAAGAAACTTACATAGAGATTTGTGAGGTGGCTCAGTGGTACAGCACTTGCTTGGTAAAGCCACACCACCACCATTTGCTGAGTAAACTAATCTAGTAATATTTTATTTTCCTAGCAAGAGTTCTTATCAAACAAAATTATACACCTTATATATACACCCCTAGAACTGAGCTCCTCCGCTGCTGCCTTCCCTTGTCCTTCCTAGGCCCCCAATATAGCTCTGAAATTTTAGAAATTTTAGAACATTTTAGAACAATCACTAGGTTAAGCCACTACTGTTGCCTCTCTGGCTCTCATTTTAGTATTATTCTAATTCTCACTTACTGTGGGTCATTGATAACTGAAGCTAAAGGTTTTGAACTAAAACTCATTGATGTTTTGAATTTCATGAAGTCGGCATAGTAATCTTTTCCTTATCTCAATGTCTTAAATGGCTATCACTTTCCAGCTGCTTACTATGTGGTAAAGACTTTACATATATAATATTGAATCTCAAAACAATCTTCGGGGTAGTTAGCACTCCCACTTTTATCAATGAAGTAAGTGAACCTCAGAGAGGTTAAATAACTTGCTCCGTAGCATACAGTCAGCAATTGGTAGAGCCAGGACAAGAAAGTCTACGACTAAATAAAGTTCATGCTTTATTTAATAAACCTATGACAATGCCTGCTAGGTCTTTTTAAATAATTTATTTTTATTTTATTTGCATTGGTGTTTTGTCTGCATGTATGTCAGTGTCAAATCTTGGAGTTACAGACAGTTGTGAGCTGCCATGTGGGTACTGGGAATTGAACTCAAGTCCTCTGGAAGACTGGCCAATGCTCTTAACCACTGAGCCATCTCTCCAGCTCCGATGGTGAGGCCTTAAGTGCTTTATAAAATGCATTCTTTCCTCACCACAACCTTCTAAAAATACACTCTTGCTGTTATCGCTGTGTAACAAATAAGGAAACTAAGGAACAAAGAAATTAATTTATGTTTTTATTTTTAATGCCACAACCTTTGATATAACTGCAAATATTTAAAAATTAGCCTAACAAACATAGGAGCCTAATTTTTTAACATAACACACTCAAAAGTTAAGAATTATGTAATGTTTTAGATGAACTACATTATCTTTCATATACTTATAAATAATTAGAATTTTAAAAATAAATGTCCTAGCCGGTATCTAATTATTGACAGATACATACACCTTTTCCTGAGACTCAGGAGGCACAAACTGGCAGATCTCTAAGTTTGAGGACAGCCAGGGCTATATAGAGAGACTCTGTCTCAAAAAACCGATTAAATAAATAAATATCAACTTAAAAGGTTTCTTCATTTTTTAAAAATATTTATTTATTTATTTATTATGTATATATATATATACATTCTGCCTCCATGTATGCCTGCAGGCCAAAAGAGGGCACCAGATATCATTACAGATGGTTGTGAGCCACCATGTGATTGCTGGGAATTGAACTCGGGACCTCTGGAAGAGCAGCCAGTGCTCTTAACCACAGAGCCATATCTCCAGCCCAAGGTTTCTTCATTTTTATTATCTTCTTGAATTAATTTAGATCCTTGCCAGTTATAATATTAAAGATCCAAGAAGCCACTCTTCAGAAATGGCGCTGTAGAAACTCTAAACTTGGTAACCTAAGTGTTCTTATTGTTTGTTTTTTGATACAGGGTTTCTTTGCATAGCCTTTGTTGTCCTTTGCTCTATAGACCAGGCTGGTCCCAAACTCACAGAGATCCTCCTGCCTCTGCCTCCCGAGTGCTGGGATTAAAGGCGTGCGCCACCACCGCCCGGCTAAACAACTAATTTTAGCAAAAATCCTTTACTGGGCTTTCTAGCTTACCTATACTAACTAGCCTTAATTTAAATAATCAACCAGTTAGGATAAACCACAAGAATATTGTGAGCTATGCTACAGGATCATTATAGGTGACAGACAGAACAGTAGTTGTTTTTCATTTTAAGAAAAACTTAAAGCAAAATAAAATAATGGAGAAACATGCACCTTCTAAATAATGCACCAGTACTCTTATATTATACTAAATAATAGCATAATTTATTTAAATGTCCTTAAGGTTCTGTGAAATCATAACATCAAATAAATCCATAAAATGTACTTACTAAAAGTACATGTGCCTAACTAGCAATCAAATATAGTTTCTATATCTTTTTTTAAAAAAAAATATACCATGACACAAAGCAAGCATTTTAAAACGTGACTAGATCCAGGTCATTTTTTTCCCTTAATACAGAAAGTTTTACAAAGCCAAGTTTTTTTTTTTCTTTTGTTGTGTTTTAGTGACCTAGAATTTGCTATGTAGACCAGGCTGGCCTCAAACTCAGAAAGATCTGCCTGCTTTTTTGCCTACTCAGGGCTGGGATTAATGACATAAACCAGCCACATCTTTTGCCCAGCCCAAAGCACACTTAACTGACAGATAACACTGCATATTTTTAGGTACAACATAATGTTTTTAAGTGTATATATACTGGTTGAGCATATTGAATTCACAAATTTTACCCCACAAGGCTATCATATTTGTGCTTAGAGCTCAGACCATATGTTCTCTTCACGTTTTTCAATACAACAACCACTAACCTTGCTATGATAGAAGTCTTCTTAAATTTATTCTAACTATAATAATGTATCTTTTACTGGTCCAATTTTAATGTTACTTTCACTTAGGACACAAAAAATAGAAGTTACTCTGCTAGATAACTTTGCAAAATAGCATCCCTTGGATGAGTTAAATTAGCATGAAACAAAAGTGGACAAAAAAATTAACATTACAAATACTCATTAGAAAATCCAAGTCTTTGACAATTATTTGAACAGGATTGGATTTGGGGAGGAAGGGAGGGACTGGTAATATTTCAGAGTAAGGGAGATGTCAAGGAAAATAATCTTCAATTGGATAAAAAAAATGTAAAAAAAAAACTAATAAACTATCTTCAACATCAGAAGAGCAAGAAGGCTAGAAAATGCTGAACTCACTTGTTTATACTGAGCTCCCTGAGTGGAGATTTGTCTTATCTTTGAATTCTTGGTGCCTGGCACAGGAATCAATAAACACTTGCTATATTAGAAAAAAAGAACAATGTATCTTGACAAGAATTCTTACCCCAAAAGGGGGGTGGACTGAAGCTAGAAGAAGCAAGTATTAGGTTGCTTTCCCCCTTTTCTCTACAACTTTCACCCAACTAGTTAAAGCGTCTGTAATCACATAAAGGTACATTTGATTTAAAGGGCTCTAGATCAGTTTAAAATACATGAATCGCTATCAGGTGTTTATGAAAAATTTTAAATGAAAATAAGCTGAGATACAATCAAATTTAAACTTAATGTAAAATTTAAAGTAGATGAAAACAGCGGTAGGCTTAAATTCCCTTTCGCCGAAGACTAACAAGATATAAAATTTTTAAATAACTCTATTTCCCTTATGGAGCTAGTCATGCACTATAAGCATAAATTTTTTTCTAAACAAATTTCTCATAGACCCAGTAAGATACTCCTATCAGTTATAAAGACCACAAAGTCCCGAGTAGTGAACACAGCAAGCACCAGGGGGCCTCCCAGGAATAACTTGATACTAAAGGAAAATGTAAATAGGAAGGAGTTCCTGGTTTAAAAAAAAAAAAGGCAACTTCTGCTGCTGGATAGCTTTAATATCTGAAGCAAATATACAAAGGTTTTTACAGCGGATAGAAGCGTTGTACTTTAGTTGAAAAAGTCCCTACACAAATGTCTTTGGTAAACTTCCAAACATATGCAAACTGCTTCGCTATAGTAAACAAAAGCAGTACACAGGCATTCATTAGGTGTCCGACGAAGAAGACTCTTAATCATTCAAAGAGACAATTCTTTTTTTTTTTTTTTACAAACTCCCCAAACAATTAGCGACGACGCGAATTTTAGAGTAAAAGGGTTCTTTTGACCAAGACCCGCCTTTAACTTTAAACAGTATCCCACAACAGATCAATCCGTTTAACTACTGGTCTCTCCATCAAGTCTTTTCTCATGTTCCCACCAATACAAAACTAATCAATAAAAAGCATGAGAGCCCGAAACTTCAAATGCTGCGAAGACTTGTAAAAATACCTTTTAAGCCCAGGAGAGGCTGTTACAACAAACATTTACTAAGTTTGTGCAGAAATTAAACTCAGCTCAAACATGCTATAATTTTAAGCCCCCCTCCCCCATTATAACCCCCTTGCGGCTCCACGTATTCTCGCGTTTCGTATTTCTAACGGACATCTCCAAACCGATACAAGACTTTTACTATTTTTTTTTGTACGCCAGACAATAAATGGTAAAGCATTCATCCTATCCTCTCCTTACGCTGTTCTAGAGCATCCAGTTAAAAAAAAAAATTGCAAACGATCCGAGCCGCGGATCGTTTCTTTTTCTTTCTCTCTCTTTTCTTTTTTTATGGTAAAATTCACTACCGGAACGACAATCGGAGGCAGCCAAGGGCAACCAACGCACAAAGAGAACGGAGAAGAAATACACATTCCACGGACACACAATGCGCAGCGGCAGGCCTCGTCGCCCCTTCTAGGGAAGGGTTAGCGGAGGCCAGCACAGCGGCCCAGCGGAGTCCCGCCGCCTCCCGGGAAGGCTGTCCCCGCCGAGGGGGCCCGGGCCTCGGACCGGCCTCTCCGCCGGCCCACCCGCCATCCCGCGCTCCGGGGCTTCCGGGGCCACCTAGCCCGCCCGCCCGCCGTCTTGCCCGGGCTTGGCTGGAGCGGGAAGAGCCCCGGGACCGGCGCCGCACTCACCCTCCAGCAGGCGGGTGATGAGGCTGTCCACGTTCAGCTCCCCGTCCGCCATCTTATCGGCAGCAGACTCTCCTCCCCGCAGCGGGAGCAAGGGCTTCTCGGCGGTGGCGGCGGTGGTGGCGGCAGCGGCTCCGCGTTCTCACCTACGAGTCACGCGGCGTTTCGACCCCGGCTCCAACTCCCCCTGGGCGCGGGCCGGGGCCGGGCCCTCCCCCCACCCCCTCCCCGCCGAGCAGCGAGGGCGCGCTCACGCGCCCGGCGAAACCCACTAGAAATAAATAAATAAACAAGCGGGACCCCACGAACCGGGCCGCGTCAGACCCCAGCCGCCTCCGCCGCCGCCGCCGCCGCCGCCGCCGCCGCCGCCGCCGCCGCCGCCGCCGCCGCCGCCGCCGCCGCCGCCGCCGCCTCCGCCTCCGCCTCCGCCTCCGCCTCCGCCTCCGCCTCCGCCTCCACCTCCTGCTGCTGCTGCTCGGCACCGCCCAGCTCCGCAATGCTCGCCGGCGCCGCGCGTAGCCCCGCCCCCAGCGTCACTCCCTCCCCCTCCGCCCTGCCCCCGCCTCGCTGCCGCGCTGAGCCGTGCGCACGCGCGCCACGTCCCCCTCCCCGCGACTCCGGCTCCGGGCCTTCGCCTCGGCCGCAGCTACCGCGCAGGTGCGGCTTCCTCCCGCGCCCGGTCCGCTGCGCCCGACTGTCGCGACTGCGCAGGCGCAGGGCGGAGCCAGCCTTGCAGCGCCAGAGTGAAAGCGGAGCCCGTGTAGGCACGAATGACCTTCCTCTTCTCTCCTACCTAGGGCTTGGGGTTTCCGCAGTTAGCGATAACGTTCCTCCCGCCTTGGTTTCTTTTCTCGGCTTCATTTACCGCTTTTGCAAACAATTCCTCATGTTTCCGCTATCCGGAGACGTGTGTTGCTGTTACCCGTGTTGGAAACCCAGGTGTGTTGTAAGCAGAAGGAGACTTTTCTGTTGAAAACTACTGACATTGCAAATGAGGGGGTTCCTTATTTTTTTTTTTACCAGAGTGGCTGACTCTCCAGGTGGCCCTGGGTGAAACAAGCATCAAAGTGGACCCCGGTCCGCAGTAATAAGATTTTATACGCTCCCTCCCGGTTTCTGCTTCTGTAGCCCTTTCATCATATCTAACATCTCCATACGCGCTAGATACCACTTTTCTGTAGTGTGTTTCTGTTCTTTGCTTGATAATATTGCGTAGTCTTCTTATCTTGTGATAATTTAAACATTTTTCTCCTGCACTTGGTTTATAGGGGATAAAATCACACGCGTTGGGCTTGACACCCATCTAATCCCTGCACGCACTTGGGAGGTGGAAGCAGAAGATTCGGAAGCTCAAGGTCATCGTCAACTACAAAACAGGCGGGGCAGCTTGTGCTAAAGGAGTTCCTGTCTCAAGAAACCAACCAAAGACACCACATTGATCTTTGTGTCTGCACCATCCACTAAGTATCTGGGTCAAACAAGACAGGGAGAAATAGAAACTCAGGAACTTGGAAAGGTTCGTTGTTCACCGTTCCTTCACCAAAGGACAAAAGAGTAGCCACGGGAAAGATTTAAGCAAAAATTTGAGGAGGTCAGGTCAAAGCTTTTTAGTTTTTGTTTTGTTTTCCGAGACAGAGTTTCTCTGTAGCCCTGGCTGTCTTGGATCTCGTTCTGCAGACCAGGCTGGCCTCCAACTCACAGAGATCCACTGCCTCCGGAGTGCTGGAATTAAAGGAGTGCACCGCCACCACCACCGGCCAGGTCAAAACTTTTAACTATTCCCAAGTGTGTGCTTCCTGCCTCCACCTCCCCCAACTCAGACTTCATGATGTTGGGAGCGCAAGGCCATGTGTGCTTTCCTTGATCACACAGCGAAACACTTACTGAAATCATGTGTCCTGGTCCTAATGTATATGTCATACAGCATCATCTCATTTAACCCTTACAGCAAGTCCTAGGTGGCAGGTGCCGTTATTTCCTCTACTTGTGGGTCAGACTGTCTGAGACGCTAAATGGGTTAGTTGCCTCAAGTAACAAACATCACAGCTGGGATTCAAACCCAGGTATCTAGTGCTATAATATGTACTAAATTGCAATATTCTTTCTCAAATGTGCATATTCTTTGACACAAACTTGGAGAGTAGAAACTAAGGTGTGTGCATGTGTTGTTTTAGAAAAAACATTATCAGTCGGGCCACGGTGGTGCACGCCTTTAATCCCAGCCCTTGGGCGGCAGAGGCAGGCAGAGCTCTGTGAGTTCAAGGCCAGCCTGTGAAACTCTGTGAGTTTCAGGCAGTCTGGGCTACATAGAAAAGCCCTGTCTTGAAAAACCAAAAAACAAAGGAAAATTAGAAAATGTATTGCTGATGATAAAGTATTATTCATCTAGCAATTATCATAACTACTATTGATGACCAAGATAATAATAAACATCCAAAGGGAAGACCAAGATAGTAAAGAGTTGAGATTTATAAGAATCAGAAACAGAGACCCAAGAAAGAAGACATTAGAGGGAACAGCAGTGTCTGGATGGGAAGCAGGCGGAGAGTTAGTACCGTCAAGACCTCCTGGACTTTTCCAGTCACTTGCAACATGGTGGTCAGAACTGACTCACTGTACAGTCGCTGTGGAGAGTAGACAAGAATCAGTAGGAAGAAATGGGAGCTAGGAGGGGAGCATGCGATGGCTCTGTGGGTAAGGGGATTGCTGCCAAGACTGATGATCTGAGTTCGTTCCTGTGACCCACATGATGAAAGAACAGACTGATTCCCAAAAGTTGTCCTCTGCCCTCCATACATTTCCCCATGGAATAAATCCTCCCACCTCACAAAATAAATACATAAATAAACAAAAAAATGGGGGATGAAAAAAAAGGAAAGAAACAGAGGACAGCGGATTGGAATGGAGGAGGGGGCTCAGGATTTTTAAAATTAGAAACCGTAGTCTGGGAGGGTAGAAGTTGAGATGTGGTTGGCTTAGCATCTCTTTGGCAGTGTCTGAGGTTTGACTGTAGGTCACCTGGTAGGTGGGCACGATTTGCCCCTCCTCCTGGAAGATCTCAGCATCACACTGCCCCAGCAGCTGAACAATTTTCTCTGCATCTGCTTTGTCCAAGTTCCGGGTCAGGGGATTGGACTTCTCTGTGATTGGAACAGCTGTTTCATACCCTGACAACTAGAGAGAAGGGGGCACAAGGGCAGGAACAGGAAGCCTCATGCTTGCTGGGCTGGAGGCGGGAGTGGAAGTAGGCACAGTATCGGGCTTGGATTCACATACTTCACACACACACACATACACACACATGCCATTCACATACCAAGAACTTAGTCTTTATGTGACGTTCTGAGCCCATTAGGGACGATATGAAAAGGATGTCTATCATGGGGTGTGTGCCTTTGATTCCAGTATTTGCACAGTGGCAGCAGGGGGATCAGGAGTTTAAGGCTATTCTCAGATACGTAGCAGTTTGAGGCCGACTTGGGCTATTCCCTATCTTAAAAGCCTTCGTGTTGTTCGAGAGGCGGCCAAAACCGACAAGCTGACTCTGAAATGTGTGTGGAAATGAAAAAGATCTAAAATATCCAAGACAAAGACCAAAACTGGCAGATCATACGCTCAGATTTAAAGAGTTAAAACAAGAAGAAGACAGTGTGGCATTGGCATGGGAATAGACAAACTGATGGGAGAGAGCTTAGAGTCTACATACAGTATCACACATGCTCAATAGAGGAAAAGCTGGATGGTCCTTTGTGGTCCAGGATATCAAACCTGCTAAGCAAGTACTCTACTGTTGAGCTATATACCCAGTCCTGGAGAGTCTTTTACATCCATGATTCTGTCTTGGAAATTTTGCATTCCTTTTATATATATTTATATATTTTACTTATTTTTATTTCATATGTATTGATGATTTGCCTACATGTATGTAGGATGTTAGATCTTGGAGTTACAGACAGTTGTTGTGAGCTGCCATGTGGGTGCTGGGAATTGAACCCGGTCCTCTAGAGGAGAAACAAGTGCTCTTAACTGCTGAGCCATCTCTCCAGCCCCTTGTATTCCTTTCTTCCTCTCTCCCTCTTTTCCTTCCTTTCTCTCTCCTTTCACTCTTCCTCCCTCTCTTCTTCTCTTCTTCCTTCTGTTTTCTGAGAGAGGTTCTCAGTCTGTAGCCCAGGCTGCCCTCAAACCCACAGTGATTCTCCTATTCAGCCTCTCAAGTACTAGGATTACAACAACCATGAACCAGCACTCCTGGCTTCAGTCAATAATATTCTTACATTATCTAATCTTATAAAAGAGCTTTGGTCTCTACTTCATATCCTATGATAATTCACTTGGAGTGGATTAGAGTCCTAGATGACAAAGCTTGTGGATAAGAAATCAGAATATATTCATAACTTCAAGGCCATCAAAGATTCTTAAACATTGAAAAAAATACTAACCATGAAAGGAAAGACTGATAAATAGGATTTCATAAAAAGCAAGAACCTTTTATTCTATTTATTTGTTTTTGTTTTTTTTGTTTTTTTTGTTTTTTTTTGTTTTTTTTTTTTTTTTTTTTTTTTTTTTTTTTTTGGTTTTTCGAGACAGGGTTTCTCTGTGGTTTTGGAGCCTGTCCTGGAACTAGCTCTGGAATCAAACTGGTTTATTGAAAAGTTAAGGAATTTGGTATTTAAACATAGGAATTTAGGGTAATAACTGGGTAAAAAGAAGCTAAGGAGAATCACCACATAGAAATGATGCTTAAAGCTTAGAAAAATTTTAATTGTATAGGTCTTTTATCTTCTTGGTTAAGTTTATTCCAAGGTTTTTTCTAAATTATTTATTTCATGTACATTGGTGTTTTGCCTGTATGTATGTCTGTGTGAGGGTTTCAGGTCTTCTGGAACTGGAGTTATAGACAGTTCTGAGCTGCTGGGAATTGAAGCTAGTTCCTGCAACTAGCTCTTGTAGACCAGGCTGGCCTCGAACTCACAGAGATCTGCCTGTCTCTGCCACCCAAGTGCTGGGATTCAAGGTGTGAGCCACCACCGCCTGGCTCCAGTCTTTTTTTCCTTTCTTTTGTTTTTTAATCTGTTTTAGAAAAAGATGCTCTTGAAGTACAATTTCTGTACTTTACTCAATTTTATGCTTTTATTAAATTCTAAAGTAACCATTTCACTATAGGTTATGGCCATTGCACCAACCCATTACATCTGGCAACGAGAGCGCTCTGTGCATCACAGTGGAGCTATTAGGAACTATGACAGAGATGAAGTTCATCTGCCCTGGGGTCCTAGTGCCACACCAGTAGACTGTTTACTGTGTGGTAAAAAAGGAAGATATATGAGATTGGGACTGTCTTCATCGTCATCTTCATCCAGTGACACAGTAGAGCTAATGGAAAAACACTCTCAGGAATTACACAATTCATTATCAGTGGACATGATAGGTGAACCTTCTCAAGCCAATAGCTATTCTCAAGGTATGCTTTAATGGTAAAATAAATTAAACCAATGCATGCTATTTATGTAGTCACTGATGCAAACATTTCATAACTGAGTTAAATTAGTATTGAAAATTTTCCCTCTTTGAGTTACCACTTTTTATTCTCTGTCTATACCTGTTTTGTGGTAGTGCATAAACACTAAAAGGGTTTTGACATATATTAAGATGAAACTTGGTATTTTGTGAGGGTATTAGAGCTCCAAGTATTAGGACTTGAAGGGTTTCTATGAAATGTATGTTTTATTTAAAAATGATTTCAAGAAAATAAATTTACTTGTAATCCCCACCCAATTATTGGTTTCTTCTATATACTTTTCTATTTCTAACAAAAGTAGACTATATAAAGGCTAGCCTTTTATTATTTAGTATAAGTCATTTCCACATGTCACTTAGTCTTATTGTGATATGTTATGCCTTAATATTTGTTGTGAGGAGGCCACTTGTTGGTTCCTGGCTGCTTGGCAGCTCAGACCCAAAATAATCACACAGAAACTATATTATTAGAACACTGCTTGGCCCATTAGCTCTAGCTTCTTATTGGCTAACACTTGTATCTTAACTTAACCCATTTCTAGTAATCTGTGTATCGCCACGTAGCTGTGGCTTACCAGGTAAAGTTTCTAGCATTGTCTGTCTCCAGAGGGGCTACATGGCTTCTCTCTGACTCTGCCTCCTTTCTCCCAGCATTCCGTTTAGTTTTCCCTGCCTAGCTCTGTTCCCCTATAGCTCTGCTATAGGTCCAAAGCAGTTCCTTTATTAATCAATGATATTCACAGCATACAGATGGGAATCCCACATCAAATTTATTTGCATATTTCATTTTTGTTGAGATCTAAAGCTTACTTAGAACAATGATATATCAACTAGAAAATATTAGCCAGAAATATATCATAACTTTCAAATTATTTTTTTAAAGATTTATTTATTGTGTATACAGTATTCTGCTTGGAAGCATGCCTTCAAGCCAGAAGAGGGCACCAGATTTCATCATAGATGGTTGTGAGCCACTATGTGGTTGCTGGGCATTGACTCAGGACCTTTAGAAGAGCAGGCAGTGCTCTTACCACTGAGCCATCTCTCCAGCCCCTCAAATTATTTTTATATGTAGCATTTCTCTGGCATTTCTTTTCTAGATTTGAAACAGTACTAGAATACTCTGTCATAGGATCCTGTTTCTCTCATTTGAAATATTTCTTGTTTTTTCCCTTCTATCCTGAAAAAAAAAAGACACACACAACCTCAGAATTTTCCTGGTTTATTTTTACCATATTTCTATGAGAAGAACAATGACTACTGAAGCTTTTCTTTACTAAAGAGGAAACTAAACTCTAGTCCTTTGACAGTAGAGGTTGAACCTTAGTTCCTGTTTCTTTCTTTGGACACAGAATTTACTTAACAAATTTTATTGACAGTATAGTTTCTTGCTTTTCAACATCTCCAAGTACACTCATTATTGTCATACCCATATTTGACATTAAGTAGGGCTGATCAGTTATAAAATAAGAATTGATCATCCCTGTCCTATCTTCCAGGGCTCTTTTACTTTTACATTCTTTGATCCTCAGAATAGGTAAGGTTTATTGGATACTTAAATGTCCCAGGCAATACAGAAAACCCCTAACATTCATAATGCACTACCATTGGGGGTTAAGTATTGTTATCTCCACTTGGCAAATAAGGAAAACCGAGACTTCTGTTAATTTGCCTAAGATTGGTAGAGTAATATTTGAAACCCCAGTCACCTGAATTCCTACCTAGTATGCTCTATGGGCCTTTGATGAAATCTTGCTTTTAGCAGTGAAAATAAGCTGGTGGCAGAAGCCTTTAAGAAGATTGCTAAAGCAGAGGTGGAAATATCAAGAACCAAGTTCCTTCTGAAATGCTTGTGGAGTGAGTTGGGAGCAAATTCTAATAATTTGAACAGGTATGTACAGAAAGCAGAAGAGGAACTGCTGCTGTGTTTTCAGGCCAGTCCTGTAGATCTCACTGGAGCATACTCTGTACTCAAGGCCTTGACAGTCCCACTAGGAGACTGGAGAGAGGCAGGAAGAAAGGCACGCTGCCAGTCACTGCCTTGAAAAAGCTGGAGGCAGGGGACATGCCAATGGGTAAAGACTGCTAGCTGATGACCTGAGAAAGAGAGAGAGAGTAAATGTAATTTTTAAATTTTTAAAACAAGTCTTTGAGACATTATGGACGAAACAGGGCAGGGAGTTGTGGAAGGATTGTGCTTTCACCTTATTTGCTGATGAAATCCCAGTTTAGGATTTATAGGTCTTCTTTGTTGGTTTGTTTTTGTTTTTGAGACAGAATTCTCTGTGTAACTCTGGATATCCTGAAACTCCCTCTGTAGACCAAGCTCTGTAGACCAAGCTGGCCTTGAACTCAAGAGTTCCACCTGCCTCTGCCTCCTGAGTGCTGGGATTAAAGGTGTGTGCCACCATGGTCTGGCTGTGAATCTTAAGGTTAACTCTAAAAACCTTTGATAATATCAGAGGGCAAGTGATATAAAGAAAAACTATTTCTGGGTATGGTGCCAATGTCTTGTGATCTCAGCACTTAGGTTAAAGTAGGAGGACTGCAAGCTGGAAGCCACAGTGGTTTCCCATTAAAAGGGGGAGGTGGAGGTGGTGAGCACTCAAGCAATGTCTCAGGGATGAAAAGCACCTCCCACTCTTCCAGAGGCCTCCAATTTGATTCCAGCACCCACATGATGGCTCATAACTGTAAGACAAGTCCCAGGGTACCTGATGCCTTTTTCTGGCCTTTACAGATACCACATTGGTTATACACAGACATACATGTAGGACACATGTACATGCAGGCAAAATGCCTATATACATCAAAGTTAATAATAAAATTTAAAAACAAATCATTAGGAACAACAAAAAACCCTATTAGATGGAAAGATATAAAATATTGATCACATATACATTTAATCAGTAAAAAAGTCTACATTCATTTTCTGGGCCTCACAGAATGTGAAGTAACTAGGGATGAAGTATACAATATTGTAGGAGTCATAGCATTTCCTAGAGTAGGGTCGGTCTCACCTGCCTTAGCAGAGCCAGAGAGAGGTGAAATGGAGTAGTGAAGCCAGTGGCATGGCCACCTTCACTGTGGTATCATTAAGAAGGGTGCACGCTTGCGCATTGAATGGATGAATGGAGACCATTGCCGTCGGCTTGCTTTAATTATTTGGGAAATGGCCTTCTTAAAGAGGTGAACTGGCCGGACGGTGGTGGCGCACGTCTTTAATCCCAGCACTCGGGAGGCAGAGGCAGGCGGATCTCTGTGAGTTCGAGGCCAGTCTGGTCTACACGAGCTAGTTCCAGGACAGGAACCAAAAGCTACGGAGAAACCCTGTCTCGAAAAATCAAAAAAAAAAGAAAAAAAAAAAAAGAGGTGAACTGGCTCACACACATGCACACACCTTCCCGTGTGGTATTATCAGAGATCATGTAGTCAGAAGCCCCCTACCCCAGCCCTGGCCCTCAATCTCAGACATTGCAGTGTCTGGAAAGGTGATAAATGTCTCCATTCCTTATCAATTCCCCAGTCTTGGGTGGTTTGTTACCACAGCAAACAATAGATTGAGACACCCGGTACCTATGAGGCACCAGCCATCCACAAAGTGTTTCAGCTAAGACTGGCCAGACTTGTACCTAAAACCCCGTGTGTGCTTAGTTCCTGCTTCACTGCTGAGCCATGCTCCGGTCCTGCCTCTGGTTTAAATGCTGTAGGAACCAGAGTGAGCAGGTGAGTGAGCAGTATCTCCTCCACTGAGTCCCATGAGTCAGAGCAGCCAAAGGAAAGTTAAATTTGGCCAGGGATATATATGTCAGGCCTTGTGGCAGGTGTTTGTGGAGGCAACCCACCTCCAGCCCTGACGGTTCCTGGATGCAGGAGATGATAAGGGGCACCGACTGCTCCTTGCCCGGGCCATTTGTCAGGTTGTGCTTACAAGTGAGCAGCTTTGAGGACACCATATCCCCCAGGCCAGAGAACGAGCAAGCTTGCTCACTGTTTATTACTAAATGCTACATTTCCCAAATCAGGTGTGGAGGCATGTGCCTCTAATTCCAGCCTGTAGGAGCAGAAGCTAGAGACCAGCCTAGCTTACAGAGTGAGTTCAAGGTCATCTTGGTGCCTACAATCATTTTTGGGTATTGGTCAGGTTCATTTTCTCTTCACTAAAAGACAAGAGAACGCCAAGCGCCCTGAGAATCTTGGACACAGCAGATAGAAGCCAACCAGAGAAGACAGGCTTTGATTAGGGGTGAGGAAACACCCATAGTAGGGTTCATGGAGAAAAAGACCCCCCCCCTCAACACACACACACAGAGCAGAAGCCACGACTCTAGTTGAGGGCAGGGGTTTTTTAAGGTCATTCGACTCTCGCTTAGGGTTGGTCAGTTTAAACAAAGACAGTGAGGCAGATAAATTCACTGCTTTGGGGTAAACATGTCCTGATCTAGCCTTGAACTTGTCAGACTGGTCAGACACCCCCGGGAGAAAAGGCCTGTATGCCTTTGTCTGTGATCGCAGTATAAGAAGCCAGAAGTTTGCCGTTTTTATTATCTACCGGGGCTCCTCCTTTTCTGTCTGGCTATAAGGGGTCTTCTAAGTCCTGGTCCCTCAGTGGATTTACAGTGAAACACTATCTCAAAAAAACCAAGACCCTTCCAAGGACACTAAGGCCGAGTTGGGGTGAGGCCCTCACTCCATCTAGCAACTAGCACTGGGCCGGCAGTCCACACCAATTCCTGTCTCTGAGTTCACCTGCCTCTACCCCACCCTCATCCTGCAGACAATGATGATGACAACAGTGGATAAGTTCGATGTCCCCAGTAAGTATCTGGTATCAGTGTTGAATCTTTCTAGCCTGGCTTGTTTGGACTAGCTGGAACAAAAACTTCTAGAATGGACAGGGCACAGCTCCTAAACATCATTACAGAGATCACAAAATAATTGAATTGTTTTCATGATGCACAGTGCAAGACTGTCATTCTGAAGCGGTGATGTTGGAAGCACTATAACTTTCTTC